TCCACAACCACCAAAACACTGCTATACGCAGCACATCTGATGAGCTGGCATTTGGTGCGGGCAAATAAGGGGGGGGGCCCGTAGAATTAGGGATGTTACCACGACAATGCGGCATCAAATGGAGAAATGAAAAATAAAATGGAAAGTGCGATTATACAGGGGTTTATAGGGATAAGGGTGACCCAAAATTAGGGCTACCCGTGCCCACCTTGTTGGTGATCTCTCCAAGGACTGAAAACTCTCATTTCGGGCTTAGGATTCAGTTTTCAATGCGTAGGATTCAAGGTCCAGGGTGCCACTAGGCTCATGGCAACAGCAAACTGGCCGCTTCTCGTGAGAACCAAAACAAAACTCGACAAAATGATGAGAGCAAAGTAGTGAGAATGGTGACCAAAGCAAGATCCAGCAAGCTAACTAGCTCCAATTCTGAAACACCTCTCCTTTACATCAGTGCGTCCCTGCAAAAATTATACTCGATGTCTGCGGGCGAAATAACGTTGGGTCCAGCAGCAAGAATATGTATAAGAATTGTATTTAACGATCTGAAACTCAAAATCATCTTTTCCAATATCCTTAAATAACCCCTCTATATATATATATACATAGATATACCCCATAAATCCTATATTGTAAACCCTATATAATCCATATATCTACCGTTTGATTCCTATATGAACCCTGTATAATCCCAGACCCAAAGCGACACCATCCTGTGTGGCAGTTATTGGGAAGCAGCTGGCATGGAGGAAGCTGTACAGCTGCTCAGCATTCCTGAGCCGGGCTGAAAACCGTTTTATATGGGGTTATATAGGTAGAATGGAAAAAGACATGGAAACTACTGTTGTGGGGAGTAAGGGTTAGGGCTTTCGTCTGAACAATTTCCATGCAGATTTAGAGACTTGCTAATCCTCAAACCCCACAAAACAAGAAAAGGACCCCCAGGAGCATTCCCCCGAAGCGCGTCCTGTCACCCTAAACCCTCTACCGTTTTGTATGCTAAATCCTGTGCCCTTGCCTACAGCCCAACAGAGGACACCTTTGAGTGTGCTTCTTCCGGGCCGAGATTCGCCTTGCCCATAACTTCCACCAATTCCTGAAGGGTATAAAGGATGATATAACGTTTGGGGCTTGGCGTCTAAACTTTTTAAAGAGGGTGATGTAGGGGGATTGTATAGGGGAGCTTTACAAGGCTTCTGACAGGGGATACTAGGAGGTTAGACTGTAGCTCACATACTGGTAGATGGGTGGCTGGCACGGAACTTAAACTTGCCGTTGGGACAAAACTGTAACCTGGACAATAAAATATGTATTTGTCTTGCTCCATTCTATGGCAACTTAGTCTAAGTGCCTTTATAAATAACCCAGGTAGGGTAGACTCTTCTGATTGGGGCCTTATGGTTGCCGGGTGTTGGGTTAGGTCGGTGTTGCGGCTGCGGTCCTCCAAGGAAAGGTCTGCGATTCCGGACAGCGAGCCGCCCCGGCGAGCCAGGGCGTTCATGTTCCTAGGGTGTGAGCTTAGGAAATAGCTTCAAACATGTTTAAACAAATGGCAACATCCCTCCCAAACAACACTTCCACAACTACAGTGACCACACTTCCATGAGCTCCAAAGGTGGACAGATAACTAAAACATTCCTGGTCCACATGAATCCACACATCAGCCGTCACTCGTACTAATCCTCAACCATACGAGAATGAGAATACTACCCAACTAAAATCTCCACCGACACCACCCCCACCCCCACCGCACTGCGATTGCACCTGCCAGTTCCTGCCCAGACAACCAAGCACTGGAGGGTGCAGGGTTCTCTGACTTTTCCATGTATCAGATTAAAGATTCCAGAACCATTAAGGTACATTCCACAAGCAAGGGCTAAGTAAACCCGAGCCAAACCTTTCGTACACTAAACCCTACACCTAAACCTTACACCCTGAACCCGGCACCCTAGACCCTGAACCCCACATGAGCTACAGTCCAAACTCCTGGTACACCCCTTGATAGCCCTATAGTACTTCCCTATATAATCCCCCAATAACCCCCCCTTTAAGGAGTTTAGACTACAGCTAACCCTAAACCCTAAACCCCTAAATCCCTAAACCCTAAACCCTAAACCCGAACACCCCCTAAACCCTAAACATGTTAGAACCCAAACCGAGGTTCCCAGGCGTCACCCCGGGCAGCTTACGCAGGACCTCGAATGCCGCAGAGTTGACTTGGGCAGCCTTGACCTTGCCCTCTGCATCATCCGGGTCCTGAAACATGTCGGTAATTGGTTTGGGGTTTAAGGTTTAGGGTTCCAAAATAGGGGCGTCCCTTTTGGGGGGTTTATCTAGGGGTTGTCTAAAGGTTATACAGGGTTTAGGGTTTCCCAAGTTTGGGGGGGTAGCCTTTTGGAGGTCCCCATCATAAAGACGATAGCATTCTGGGCTCTGTATTGGGGTCCCCCTTTTTAGGGAAACTATCAATTGTCTCTTTCGCAGACTGCGTGTCCGCAGCAGAGCCCCATTGCCTAGGCAGCTACTTGCTTACAGCTTCATCCATTGAGTTGACCTCCTTCAGGGTCCTTAGGGTTCAGGGTTTAGGGATCGGGGCTTGAAGTTTTACGTATAGGGTTTAGAGCTCATGAGCGCACGACCCTGCCCCAAAACCTGACGTGCGCCCGACGCTATGCATGCTACTGTGGCCATGAAACGGCTGGAAGCTTTTGCTAGGGTTTAGGGTTTAGGGCAACTTTAAACCTTTACCACCCCGAAAACCAGCATGGAAAGCTATAAGGCTACTTCCCCAAAGGAGGCAGACTTGCAAAGCGCTTTTTCAGCTTCCACATTATCCTGCGGGGGAGTGATCTATGCCTTTGAAGGCAGCACCTAGCTTCCGTGCATGCGTTTTACTAGTTTCGTGCTTCCCAGTTTTTTGTGGTTTTAGTATTTAGGCTGTAGGCAATTGGTACCATGACCCAAGGCACTCTATTTCTTACTCTGACATGTCTAGTGATCCTCTCTACTGCTACTCCACCCTAACACAGCAGCTAAAGTACCTTAAACCCTGGACCCTAAGCCTAATATCATAGACCTAGGCCATGAAGCCACAACGCCATATCCCCAGACCTAAAGCCTAAACCCCTGATCCTCAGGTAAGCCCATATAATTCCAACAGAGCCCTCATAAAACTCGCAAATAAGGATCTTCATGCCTAAACTCGAAGCCTTCATCAGCGCGGATGGCTTCAGAGATTGCAATTTTCATCCGTAAGGGACCCCAACATAGACCCCCAAATACTACAGTCCTTATGAAAGGGAACCCCCAGAAAGGTACGAGTACCGTGTATTCAGTGTTTCAGAGATTTCGCTCCTCGGCATCAATTTCCGCTGCGGCCTTGGAGTCTGGCTGATATCTTCCCTCCTCCGCTTCAAGTACATTTGCATGGGGCATGGGGTTGGGGATTCCAGATCCTGGTTGTTTTTTATTTTGTTTGGGGGGAGGCTTTCGGGCTTAGACCCTTAAGAATCAAATGTTGTTTGCCCTGGAGTGTCGAATTGTTCTGGAATGCAGGAATGGTGTAAGGCTTTTCCCCCTTGCCCAGGCGCGTCAGGGCTAAGGCGTTGACATGCGGGTTTAGTGGTAGAGCTTGGGCTTTTGGGTCTGGCGGCAATGTCTTCTTATTCCCTGATCCTTCAGCTTCAGGAAGATGTCGGCTGTGAAGCGTGGAGATGGGCTCCAGATGATCCTTAAGCTTCGGACAGCTTCAGTCACTTAGAACAACTCCCAGCCGCAAAGCCTGAACCAACAGCCTCGCAAAAAAAGATCATCACCATCTCTGCCAACAAATGTTCACTGGCCTGAAATGGGTGTCTAGAGAATCTAAGATCACGAAGACGTGTGCAGGCAGCAGACGGGCTCTAAACCCCAAACCCTAAAACCTAGATGAGGAATTGACTGACCAATTCAAGCATCTTCAGCTTCGGGAAGTGTAGCACAACCAGGGGAAGCTTGCCCGTAACATCCTTGGTCCCCACCTGCACATGAGCTATCGTCTAGTATCCTTGAAGGGGGGTTACATGGGGATCATACAAGGACCCCATTATAAGGGTTACTAAGAGGGATACTAGGAGTTTAGACTATAGCTCACTTGTGCTTCCCATGGCTGAGGGCTTTGGAGGTCAAGGTCCAGGATTCCGGGAAGTGGCCTTTAGTCCCCCTCAAGTAGATAGAATATGGGTTTTATGAGCCTTTGTCTAAACTCCTAGTACGTCGGACAAAAGTCAGGGTCATTGGCCTCCTAGTATCCCCCTTAATAATTAATAACCCCTATAGTAGTCCCCTATATAATCCCCTATATGACCCCCTTTAAGGAGTTTAGATTATGGCTCATATGGGGATCTCATTTTAGCATACCCAAAGCCATATTCTATCTACTTAAGGGGAACTATAACCTTGTGCAAGCCCTCGCGCAGGGGTAAAAGAAAGTCTTCCTTTGATCAATGAGGGTGCCTCAGAAATTCGTACGTCAGCTCGAGGATGGGTGTTTGCTGTGGAGCAACAAAACTTACTCCAGGAACCGCCTACATGGACACTTTCAAAGAATGTTCTTGGGAGCCGTGGCGCAATCCCTCTCTTAACTAAAACCAACACCCACCTCGATCTCACGTCGCGCGATGAGGTAGCTGCTCTGCAGCATGAACCCCTTTGCTGGATCGAACTCGATTAGCAGCAGGGGATTCGCATAGTGATGGCACAAGTTCTGTGCCTGCTGGTAGAGCCGGCCGCTCCTGGGTGAGGCATTCGTCTGAGAGCTTCAACTTTTGAAGTTGAACAGAATAGAGGCAGCTGTTTCTCTCAGGCCTAAACATGTTTAAAGGGTCTCCTGCTAGCAAACCAGCAGAAAAGCCAGAACAAAATGCAACCGTGTCACTGCAACGACTGGACCAGGTCAGTTACCGCTTTGCGCTCCACGCAAATGTCACGGGACAGCACATAGTCACCGACTGGGATGGTGACCTGAAGACGCAGCTTGAACTTCTGAAGCCAAGGCACTATTACGAATACCCCCCCCTGCCTCTGCAGGAAAAATCCAGGACCCTAATTCTGACAACGGACCAAATCTTCAAGTTGAAGCTGAGAAGAAAATGAGCACAACACATGTGCTCTTTGCCGCTACTTTACCACCTGCTTCTGTCTATCTAACGGCGTCTCAAAGCTTCTTCTGTTGCAGGTCTTGAAAACCCAACAGGGCACGTAGCCAAAAAACCCTAAGCCATCATCTTCAACCCACAACCGCCGGTGCCTTCTGTGGATGGAGGAAATCTTGCACCACCTGATATACCCTATCCCCGAAAAATTACAACACAATTGAACCCCGAAGTGGCGCAAGAATTCCTCCATCCTCCATATCATAGCCTTAGCATTGCCAAGAAGCTGGCTCAACCACCAAACCGCGAAGATACAGCATGAAGGGCAGGGTTGACCGAAACTCTCGCCTCAGCAAACCATGACAAGGCATCTGGGGGACTCCAGGACCCGCAAAATCCCATCTTTCACGGAGGTTGCCAGCCAGGTGCTAAAGAACAAACAGAAGAGCGTGGTGCTCGCATCTGCCGAAGTCGTTTCTATTGTGTCTTGTTTTACCAAAGCTAGAAAAGAACCTGAAGAAGCTGTGTCAACACGTTTACGTGGGGATGTGCAAGTCTAACCCTTGCATGAATATGCTGTGGTACAGCTTGCGCTCTGAGGCGAAAAAATCTCTCATCGTACCGGTCCAGGAAGATGTTGAGTGCACGTGAGGTTAGTCGCACGATGCAGGTGGAAGGATGAGGAAGCCCTATCACTCGAGTATCCCTATAGGTCTGATACAATTTTTCAGACTGTCCTTACATGATGTTGTCCTTATACGATTTGACTTGCTATTGATTTTTTCCATTCCATATTCCGGTTCCTTTTTGCGCGACGAAGTACACCTGCTTTCTGGCCGTATATGGGCAAAAGGGGTTATGTAGGGGTTATAAGTTATAAGGAGAATGGGAAGGAAAATGGAAACTACTATTTAGGGTTTAGGGTTTAGGGTCTGGTTGGCTCGTAGCGATCGGTTCCGATCTTGTCTGGATCTTGCTTTAGCCGGCCTACGAAGATTCCCAATCCCTCACGCAAACCGCCAACAACCCACACAATCCAAACACTATGAACCCAAACCCAACCCAGCCCAGATTAACAAAAGGACCACCATGTCCACTCCTAGTCGTTGTTAATTCAAGCCTATGAACCCAGTACACTCTCCCAGTTTCCATCTCATTGTTCATTGTCCTTCCCATTTGCTTCTCCATTATGGAGGTAATATCCGCAAACCCTGGACCCTAAACCCTGTGTAAGCCTTGATGCGCCTACATATCCCTACGTATCCCTGCATAACCCGTTACTGAGGGTAGCCCATATGCAGACAATGCGCATGTCCACCACCACGCGAGGCTTCGTCATGCCTTGCAGTGCCCTGGAGCCCCCGCCACGCCTTGAGGATTGCTCCGGAGCGATAGACTCCGTGGGGAGGTCCACTCCTTGATCCCAGAGAACTTGCCACCTTACCACCCCTTTAAAGGAATACACATATTAGCATTGGCAATTATAGGACAGCTATGCGGACCAATACTCCTTGCAGGGGCTCAAGGCATATACTTTATCAATAATGGAGTATCAAACGAAAATTAATATTCAAGATGAAAGGGGAGCAGAGCTTACGTTGGGGTTTGTGAGGGATAGAACACCTTCACCACGGAATATGACCCCAATCGTGGAACAAATCCTAAAAATCATTTAGGGCATGCATATTCCTTAGTTAAGGGCTCTCTGGGCTACCTTGCCCTCAAAGAAGCTTTCAACTAACAAAGGCGCCTGTGGACCACTGTGCTGTCCTTTGAGAATGGGTCCAGGGAGGGCTTACCGCCGGTTATGCTTCTCTATATGAGCTATATTCTAAACTCCTAATA